AAATTTCAATTTCTTGATCTGGGTTTCTTCTGTTAGAGAACATTAGCTGTTTCTTGATCTGAGATTTGTTCCATTTTTTTTTTCTCGTGGGGTTGTCTTAAATTTCGATTTTTGGATCTGGGTTTTGTTCTTTAATGTTGTTTGAAAACATTTACTACTACCGTGTCTATTATTTTCTTAATTTCCTAGCATTCAACCCCAAATCATGCCCTAAAAACGAACCTAATTACAAAATGATTCCTAAGTACAACTTAACATTCTCTCATGAGATTAATGAATTAGTTTTCTGTCATTATCTTCAGCTGTTTCTCCTACCTTGTAAATGTAACATTAATATAGATTAGACTTGTCATTATTATGTGGCAACGTAGACTTTATAATATTATACTCAAAAAGAGAAATATTTTTTCCTTTTTCATTGTAATGTCAAGTAATACGTTAAAAACATTACTTTACTCACATGGGAGGAGTCCACTTTTTGGTTGTTGAATTTTTTAAACACGCGGATCCCGCACACATGTAAGAGGTTGTCAACCGAGGTTGTACATGTAGAATTATCCTTACTTTAAAGTAATTAATTATATAACAGTGTACGACTTCCGTCATCATTGGTATAACATGGGTGGCCATTGTGTTTTCGGTCCTTTTTCTCCTTGCATATGGAATTATGTTCTTAATAACTGTACAATTTGTAGTATTGAGTTTCTTAATTACAAATTTTGCAGTGTCAGTGTATTCGGTGTATCAGCAGAATCAATGCAATGCTCTTATGACACAAGAGGCAACAGTGTCCCAACTATTCTCTTATTAATGCAAGAAACATTATACATGCAAAGTGGTCTAAAGGTACGACGGAATTTAGCCTCTTTTTTTTTTTGGCTGTTGAATAGGCCTGTGATTGAACTTTTTGGAATGAATTTTTTGTAGGCCGAAGGTATTTTTCGGATAAATCCAGAGAATAGTCAAGAGGAGCATGTTAGGGACCAACTCAACAGAGGAAATGTGCCTGACAACATTGATGTCCATATTTTGGCTGGTCTGATCAAAGCCTGGTTCCGAGAACTCCCGTCTGGTGTGCTTGATGGGCTTTCTCCAGAACAAGTGTTACAATGCAATACGGAAGAGGACTCTGTTGAGCTCGTAAAACAACTGAAACCGACTGAGAGTGCATTGCTCAACTGGGCTATTGATCTCATGGCTGATGTAGTTGAACAAGAGGAATCCAACAAAATGAATGCTAGAAATATTGCTATGGTTTTTTCCCCGAATATGACTCAGGTATTTCAGCAAACCCATTTGCAATACTTCTTTCCGAATCTTTATGACATTTTGGGAAAGGCGGACATTAGAGTAATAGGCAGTACTAAAGAAAAAAAGAACAGTAGTTCATTATCTAATTGCGCTGTTCTATATTTGTTGTTTGATCCAGATGTCGGATCCATTGACGGCTCTTATGCATG